TCTTTTTCCATATTGTTACTTCATCTGCCCCGAATCTCAGCACCAACCAACAGTAATAGGGACACTTTCTAAAGAATGAGTCTCTAGCATGACCTGGACCCTTCTACGGACGCCGTTACAGGCCGAGTCTGTCAAAGTCGCGGGCATGTGGACTTATTATGGAATGGCCCATGGGGGCGGCGGGCGGCTGACGGGGAGCCGCGGCCCCACCGAAGGGACCCCCGGCCGCTGAGCGGCCTCTACGTCACGGCCCGGGGTGGGGCCGCCTCCCCCTGCCGCCTGGGCGCCGCTCCCGCCGCGGAAGGCGGGCCGGGGACCTGCCCGGGAGAAGGTGGGCCCGGGGACCTGCTGGGGGACAGGTGGGCCGGGGACCCCTCCGAGGGAGAAGGCGGGCTGGGGATCCGTCCTGGGGGAAGGCGGGTCCGGACCCCGGTTAGGGAGAGAAGGTGGGTCGGGGACCCAGGGGAGAAGGTGGGCTTGGAGACGGACCTGAGCAGCAGGTCGGCCTGGGCAGCTCTCCGGGGGAGAAGGTAAGCGGGGGACCCTCCGAGGGAGAAAGTGGGCCCGGGGACCCGTGGGGAGGGCGGAGAAGGGAGACCCCCTGCAGGAGAAGGTGAACGGGTGCCCTGCCAGGAGAGGGCGGCCAGGGTGTTATGGGGGGAACACGGGGAGGGACCTGCAGGGAAGGGGGCCGGGGACACTGGGTGAGGTGAGAGATGGGCTGCGGGTACAGGAAACCCCCGAGTGAGGGGTGAGACCCCAGAGGATGTCCTTTCCCAGGAAAAGGTAGAGGAGACACTGCTTGGCTCTAACTTTGTTCTGACTCAGCAGCGGGCAGAGGGCTCCTCCAGTCCCTTCCTCGCTGCTCCCTTCCCTCCTGACTCCCCCCTCATTCCTGGCTGAGGACACCCGTCCTCCCTTCTACTGCCCCTGGACTTCCCTGATGCTCAGCTCCAGGGGGGCAGGAGCACTGGCACAGGTCAGCTCTGTAAAAAGGGAGCGATTATCTAAAACTGAGCTGCCCAGGAACGCTGGTCAGAGCCCCCAGGCCAGGTGACCTGAGGGTGGGGAGGGCAGCAGGTGCTCTGTCCGTGTTTGTGTCCCAGATGACAGCCCCATTGGTGGCTTAGGAGGAGGGGGTGTAGAGGTGCTGTGGGCCCCCAGCCTTTGCCCTGAAGTACTCCTCCCCCCTCACCTGGCTGGTCAGCGTCTTTGGCATGTATGGGCGGCCGCTCCGCTGGCGGGGATCTTTTCTCAGGTGTCCTTCGGCAGACCCTGCCTGGCCCTCCCAGCTGCTGTGTCCTCCGCGCCCTTCGCAGGGGCCGGAGCAGAGTGGGCCCCTAAATTGGAGTAAGGAACCTGTGTGTGCTCCCTCACTCTGTCCCATCCTGGCCACTGCAAACTCAGAATTACAGACCCAGAGCAGGAAGTCTGCTCCAGACCATCCCACAGCAGCATCCTTGACGGGCCCTCGGCCTCGGCCAGCAGCCTCTCAGGGCCACTTGCTCCACTTGCAGGCAGTTCAGTTGAAGTCTTCACTCCGAATTGAGTCAAAATCTGCCCTCACATAGTCAGCCATCCTCCCCCAATAGGGGCCCCTCAGCAGTGCCTTAGCTGGGAGGTACAAGCATGAGGAAGATGAGACTGGAGGAAGGGGAGGCAGGAGAGGGATAAGCTTCCTCCTCCACCCTTTCACACCTTGGTGAGCTGCTGAGGGTCTGGAGCTAAGGCCTTCCTACCTGAATTCCAGCTGTCACCCTCCCTCCTTCCTCCTTCCTCCTGGGGACAGCCTATATGGCTCTGAAAGGGAGTAACTCTTGGACCACTGACTCCCCGGAGTGAGCTAGGGCAGATAAACAGAGCTCAGCCTGCAGGTCAGAGTCTGTAAGGCCCAGAGACCCTGCCTGGGCACTTCCATCACCTTCCCCTCCGGCGGTGTGGTTCACGGAAGCCGGAAACTTCTGGAGGCTACTGTGTGCAGAGGAAGCCATCCTGACTGGGCATCCTCATCTCTGACACTTCCATTTCTTTGTTTACAAATAGTGATCGTCACCCAGCATGTATCGGGTGCACTGTGCTCAGTTCTTCCCAGACCGGACCACACTCACCAGCTGCTTCCAAAGCACTTAGAACATCCCCTGGGTGGTGAGTACACAGTCAGCACTCACATGACACCGTGGGTGTTAGTGGTGCCACTTTGGAGATCCGTGTCTAGATGGGTGTCATGGCTGGTAGGATTGGTGCCATTTCCAGAAGTGAAAACAGGCTCAAAGGAGTTAAATGCCTCATGAAGGAGGTCAGCTGGCTGGTGAGATGGGGGAGCAAGACAGGAACCCAGGCCAAACCCAAAGCCTATGCTGCACCCCCTGGCCACCCTCAGGGAGCCCTAAACACACACAACAGCCGGGAGCCTGTAATCCCACCCGTGGTTCGCTGCTGACACGAGAACGGACCCGCATCTGGAAGTGTCAGTGAGACTCTGCTGTTATTCAGAGCTCTTCCACGGCTGTCTGCTGACCACAGACTGAAATAAGCCCAGACATGGGTCCCAAGCTCTCCCTCTATTGGGCTTCTCTCTATAACTTTCCTGTTCTCTCCCATCAGAGAGTTCTCCTCTTCTCCAGGCTCACCCTCATTTATTTACTTAAGCAGGAATGGAGCACCTGCCGCGTGCCCAGCAGTGCTGTGGCTGCGTGGTGGCCCTGTGGAGCTTGTACTGCAGTAAAGGGAGACCCACACATATGCAAGAACTAGTGGACTGGGTGCCACCGTGTCCTTAGGACACCAGCCCAGGGTGGGCAGTGGACAGAGGTGACCTGGGAGCAGAGGCCTGGACCCGGCAAAGCCACACAGAAGGGAAAGACGGCAAAGGGAACTTCCTCGTAGGGATCCAGAAAGGAAGGGGCTGGTGGCTTCAGAGATCCAGGTGTCCTCTCTGGCCATAGGCATACCTGGAATTCTGCTGCCCCGAGCGTGGTGGCCGCTCCACATGCTCTGCCATTGCCTCAATGCCCACCCGCCAAGTCTGCTCCATCCCCCAGGGCGCAGCTTCCGGGATTCTGTGAGCATCTAGACCTCACCACCCACCCCAAGTGGCCCGGCTTGCTTCAGGGTAAGGGGGTGGGCTCCCAAGCAGGTGGTCCCTGTGCTGCCCTTCACCCTGGTGCTCCAATAAAGCACAGCTGTGGCACTGCATCCAGTTGTGAGCATCTGAGACCAAGACCTGTTATTCACCTTGTTGCCCAAAGGAAAACAGCATTTTCTATTACATGTTCATTCAGTCACTCAACAAATTGCACTGAATGCTAGTGCAGAGATTTTTTAAATTGTGGTAACATACACCATAACATTTATCATTTTAACTGTTTTTAAGTGTGCTGCTCTGTGGCATTGAGTGCATTCACATTGTTGTGCAATCATCACTGTCACCCAGCTCCAGAACATCTTCCCAAACTGAAACTCCTCCTATTAAACACTAACTCCCCATCACCTCCTCTCCCTAGCCCCTGGATACCACCATTCTACTCTCCGTCTGTATGAATTTGACAACGCTGGCTACCTCATATAAGTGCAATCATACACTGTTTGTCCTTTTATGACCGGCTTATTTCATGTAGCCTACTGTCCTCAAGTTCATCCATGTCATAGCATACAATCCGATTTTGTATGTATATACTAGTACTAGAGGTCTGATGCACGAAATTCTTGGCCCCAGCCCCCCACCCGCTGCCCAGGCCGAGGGCCTCTGCTGCCTCTGCCTCGGCCCGCTGCGGCTTTGTCCGGGAAGGAAGGACGTCCAGTCTAATTAGCATATTACCCTTTTATTATTATAGATCATTTGGTTTATCCATTCTCTGTTGATGGATACTTGGATTATCTCCATGTTTTGGCTCCAGTGAATTATTCTGCTATGAACATGGGTGTACAAATATCTGTTCAAGTCCCTGCTTTCACTTCTTTTGTGTGTACATACACCCAGAAGTGGAATTGCTGAACCATATGGTAGTTCTATTTTTAACTGTCTGAGGAACCACATACTGTTTCCCACAGCAGCTGCACCTTTTCACATTCCCACCAACAGTGCACAAGGGTTTTCATTTCTCCACATCCTCATCAACACTTATTTTCTCTCTCTCTCTTTTTTTTTTTGTTTTGTTGTGTGTGTGTGCGTGATTGTTATTATAACCATCCTAATGTGTGTAAAGTGGTATCTCATTGTGGTGTTTTTGCTTTGTTCTGTTTTTTGGTTCCACTGAAACTCCATAATCATTGTGATTTTGATTCACATTTCTCTAATGATTAGTGACATTGAGCATCTTTTCATGTGCTTATTGGCCATCTACATATCTTCTTTTCTTCTTTCCCCCTCATGTTTCCTTCTAAGATTTTTATCATTTCAGTTCTGAAATTTAGGTCTTCGATCCATTTTGAATTTTGTATATGGTGTGAGGTAAGGGTCCAGCTTCATTCTCTTGCAGGTGGATATCTGGTTTTCCCAGCATTATTTGTTGAAAACACTGCCCATTCCCCATGGAATGATCATGACAGCCTTGTCAAAAATCATTTGACCGTATGGGGAAGGGTTTATTTCTGGGCTCTTTATTGTATTTTATTCATTTGTATGTCTATTTTTATGGTAGTACCACACTTTGAAATCAGGAAATATGAGTCCTCCAGCTTTATTCTTCTTTTTCAAGATTGTTTGACTTACACTTTTGTATGAATTTGAGGATTAGCTTCTCTATTTCTGCAAAGGGCTATTGGAATTTTGACAGGAATTACATAGAACCCAGTAGATGGCTATGGGTAGTCTTGGCATCTTAAATATTATTTTATTATTCATGGAAATGGGTTGTTTTTCCATTTGATGTGTCTTCTTTAATTGCTTTCAGCAATAATTTGTAGTTTTCAGTGTATAAGTCTTTCGTCTCCTTGGTTAAGTTTATTCCTAGACATTTTATTTTTTTGATGATACTGTAAATGGAATTGTGTTCCTAATTTCCTTTTGGGTTTGTTTATTCTTAGTGTGTGGAAACAAAACATATTTTTGTGTGTTGATCCTACAACTTTGCTGAATTTGTTTATTCTGTTTTTTTGTGGAATCTTTAAGTTCCTTAATCTTGATGATTTTCCATAAGATCATATCATCTATGAACAGAAATAATTTTACTTCTTCCTTTCTAATTTTAATAACTTTTCTTTCTTTTTCTTGCTCAATTGCTCTGAACTTTCAATACTATGTTAATAGAGAAGTGGGGCATCTTTCTCTTGTTCCTGATTTTAAAGGAAAAGTTTTCTTAGTTTTCACTGTTATGACGTTTGCTTAGGCTTTTCCACATATATCTTTTACTATGTTGAAAAGTTTTTTTTATTTATTTTTTTTAATCCTCACCTGAGGATATTTTCCCATTGATTTTTAGGGAGAGTGGAAGAGAGAGGGAAAGACAGAAGGAAACACCAATGTGACAGAAACACATCGATTGGTTGCCTTCTGCACACGCCCTGACCAGGGCCAGGGCCAGGGAGGAGCCTGCAACCGAGGTACGTGCCATTGACCGGAATTGAATCCAGGACTCTTCAGTCTGCAGGTCGACACTCTTATCCACTGAGTAAAACCGGCTAGGGCAATTTTTTAAATATTTTTATTGAGTATTTTTATCATGAAAGGGTATTGAATTTTGTCAAATGCCTTTTCATCTAGTAAGATGATCATGTTTCTGTTAATGTAGTGTATTATTACATAGATTGATTTTTATTGATTTAAAGGATGTTGGGCCATCCCTGCATTCCAGGAAAAAATTCTATTTGGTCATGATGTATGATCCTTTCAATATGCTGTTGAATTTGGTTTCCTGGTATTTTGTTGAGGATTTTGCATCAATGTTCATAAGGGATATTTTTTGCAGTATTTTCTTATAGAGTCTTTGTCTGGCTTTTATATCAGGGTAATGTGAGCTTCATAGAAAGGATTAGGATTCCCTCCTCTTCAATTTTTGGGGAGAGTTTAAGAAGGATTGGTGTTAACTTTTCTTTAAGTGTGTAGTAGAATTCACCAGTAAAGCCATCTAGTCCTGGGCTTTTCTTTGTTGTTGTTTTTTAAATTGTTTAATTTTTAGAGAGAGAAAAACATTGATTGTTTGCCTCCTATATACACCTCAACTGGGGACCAAACCTGCAACCTAGGTATGTGCTCTGACTAGAAATCAAGCTGTGACCTTTCGGTGTATGGACGAGGCTCCAACGAACTGAGCCACACAGGCCAGAGCAGTTTTTTATATTGCTTCAATCTCCTTAACAGTTATAGGTCTATTGAGATGTTCTATTTCTTCATGATTCAGTTTTGGTAGATTGTTTCTAGGAATTTGTCCATTTCATCTAGCTTATCCAATGTGTTGGTATACAAGTAGTGCAGGTTTTATAGCAGTGAACAAGGCAGACACATTTTCTACCTCCAAGGAGCTCATACGCCAAAACGGAAGACAGACAGCCAATAACTGTCTGGGTGGTAGTGGGAGATACCAGAAAAGAGATACTAGGTCAATGCTGGGTGTGTGCTTTTGTAATCGATGAATCCATGTAGTGAATACAAAGAGAGTTCTAAGACTGGGCCCTTCTTGGGGTACCACGACCAAGCTGGTCTAATCCAGAACTGATTGAAATAAGCAGTGACCCATGGGAAGTGTGCCCTTTCTTTCTTCTTTCCTCCCTTCCTTCCTTCCTTTCCTTCCTCCTTTCCACAGTGCGCGGTGGCGAGGGCCCACCCCCCGTCAGCATTCCTTCCTTTCACCTTTCCTTTCTTCCCTTTCTTTCTATAATTCTCACCCGAGGATATTTCCCCATTGATTTTTAGAGACTGTGGAAGAGACAGAGAGAGAAACATTGATGTGAGAGAGACACATCGATTGGTTGCCTCCGGCACATGCCCCAACCAGAGCTAGGGATCAAGCTTGCAATTGATGTATGTGCCCTTGACTGGAATCGAACCTGGGACCCTTCAGTCTACAGGCTAACACTTTATCCACTAAGCAAACTGGTTAGGGCAAAAGTGTGCCCTTTCTTGTTGACCATCTCTAGGATGGCCCCGTGGTGTTTGGAAGCACTGAGTCTATAGACAAAATCCCCTCAGCTGGGTGACCATATAATTTACTATCCAAAAGAGGACTGTTAACAAAATACCAGAACAGGGGCAAACAGGCTTTTCCAGGCAAACTGAGACCAGAATGGCCCTCCCACAGTCATGTCTGCAGGGATGGGCATGCACCAATCGCAGGAGTGAGCACAATGTGATGTCTGGGTAGGTCTGCCAAGGGTGCCTCCAGCTGTTTGCTTCATGAGCTGCCAAGGCTGAGGCCAAGGCCATCCTAGGCACCTGCCTTTAAGTGGCTCGAACTCTGCCTGGGTAATTCCCACCTGACCTCCAGGTCATTACTCAGACTCCCTGACACCTCCCTCGCCCATAGGAAGTTCCTTCTTTTCTCTGCTTTTTCCTTCATAGGACTTATTACCATTGCTGTTGCTGTTTCATGTATATTTATTTTCTCTTACGCGCATTTTCATGTGACTGTTCTTTTCCTGCTCGGATGAAATGCCACAGCACAGGGAGGTAGGTCTCTGTTGTGCTCACGGCTGTCTCTTCAACAGCCAGCACAGTGCCAGCCCTAGCAGATCCTCCGTGAAGTGGGTTTGAGCGAGCTTGGTTAAATACCAGGTGAGGATGAGACCCTCGGCCTGATAGCAGCCTCTACTGTTGTAGAAAAAGGACCACAGTTCGTTCTTACTACCCAGGCAGTTTTATCCCACTTGGAACTGTTCCCACTTGGGTCTGCGCAGGCCACTTCCAGTTACCCTTCTGTGCATCAAGAAAAAAGAAATGTGCAACCAGAGCTAAGACACACCCAGCTGAGGTGTAGCCCATGGGTTCAGAGACAACTGGGCAGGGCATAATCTGCACTTACCAGGATGGCGGCACGCAGGGTGCATCAGCTGCCTGGGGCTGCCATAACAAAGGTACCACGACCGGGTCCCTTAGAACAGAAATGTGTCCTCTCAGGGTTCCGGAGGCCAGAAGTCTGCGGTCAAGGCGCCAGCAGAGCGGCGCTCCCTCTGGAGGTGCTAGGAAGGGTCTGTTCCAGGCTTCTCTCCAGCTTCCATCAGTTTCTTGGCTTGTGGCAGCATCTCTCCGATCTTCACAAGGCCGTTTTGTGTTTATCTGTGTCCAAATGCCCCCTTCTTATAGGAACACAAGTCCTGTGGATTAGGGCCCACCCCACGTCAGCATGACTTCAGCCTAACTAATTACACCCACGACACCCTATTTAAGGGTCTGAGGGACTGGAGTCAGGACTCTGACATGAATTTGAGGAGACACAGTCCAGCCCCCTGCACAGGTGAGGTGTTTGGTGCAAAGCCAGCTTTGGCCCTGTCTGCAGGTCTGCGGCCCAGACTGTGCCAGGGAAGCTAACAGGACAAGTAAGGAAGCCCTGCATCCCACAGCCTGGGGCCCGTATGGGGAGAATGAAGATGGCTCCAGGCAAAGCTGCGGCCTCCGCAAGGTTCATTCTACCAAGCGGGGAGGAAAGGGGGCCAATAAGTTAGACATTCTCAGAACTGAAGGTAAAAGCACTGGAATCCTTACCCACATCAGGAAAGGACTGGCACTCCCCCTTTGTCCTTCAGGGGGTGATATGGATAAGGGGACAGAGGGTGAATAACTTCTTAAAATTCGTGTGTTGGCCTGGGTTTTTAGCATCATAAAAGAGCCAGGGCATTTGGAAGTTCTGTCAACTGGAAAATGGAGAAACTGAAGACCCAGTAAAGCATCAGAAGGGAAATGCCACCTTCACTGGCAACAGGAGCACATGAGAACCAGGAGTCATTTCCCATCTTCCTGGCAAAGAGATGGGAGGGGGTGCAGTCAGTGCTGAGGACCCAAAGGCCCTTCCCAGCACCCCCACCCTTCTGCATGCGTACCTTCCGGCAAAACGCTGACCATCTGTGGGGCGTGCTGCATCCTCTTCCTTGACCTGGAGTCCACTCACAACCTGCCAAGGGCCACCGCACGCCCCCAACCCTGCAGTGGTGACTCACCCCTCACAGGCGGGTTCTCTCCATCCACCGCTCCGCACCTGGGCCCGCGTCCACCCCCCTCCGCAGACCACTGTCCTTGGGCAGCTGGTCCCACAGGTCCTCCCTGCCAAATGCCCGGTCACCTCGTCTGATTTCCCTCATCTTGTCCGAAAGTCTTATTTGTACACAGCACGTGTATACTGCTCCCCTCCACGAATGTGAAGGCCATGGAGAAGGGCCCTGGGCGCCTAGCAGTGTGCCCGCCACGGACGGTCATTGCTGGCGGCAGGTGCACCCCGTGCAGCCGCCCAGGGCTGTGGGACAGGGAGAGGCGAAGACGATGCCAGGTGGGGAAAGTGTCGTAAAGCATGTATGACAACCTGATTATTTTCTGCAACGAAAATAAAAAACTATATATTGAATAGGAAAAGGAAAGATAAAGAGCAAATGTGAACAGGTGTCTCAGGATAGAAGAATTACTGGGGACTTTTGCCTTTCTGTTTACTTATGTTTTTAAAAGTTACTACAATAAACGTTACTTTTGAAATGAGGAAAAGAATATTTATTAAGAAAACAAAAGGGTCAACGCCGGGTCAGAAATCGCCCAGTTTCAGGACGCGGCCCTGGTGTCTGGGCAGCCCGCCGGCCCCACACGGTTCTCCACGCGTGGACCTGCCCGGGGCACAGGCCGTGCCGGGTCGCGGCAGCGGCGGCCCTGGGAGCTCGGCCACCGCGGAGCGGCAGCGGGGACCCCGGCCGGAAGGAGTGCTGCACGGCGAGGGCCCGCACTCCCAGCGGGGCTGCGGACAGGGCGCGGGGTGAGCGGCGGCGGGACCAGCACCGCGGGTCGGAGGGGCCGCGAGGAGCGCCGTGAGCCGC